TTTTCTGTTATATTTGAACATTTGTTAAATGTTATTTAATATGAATTGTTCCTCCTTTATCCCTCAAATAAATAAATGAATTTATCCTGTGTGAGATCAATAAAGTCTATCTTATCTTAAAATACAAGCCACAATTAAAGGCTCGGCCACGCACTATTTACAGGTTAGCATTAGCTACAAGTTAGCTTGAATACATATTCAAGTCAACCGTCTGTAAAATCAGACAAAATGTTTTATGAGACCTGTAAATCTTTTCCCACAGCTTCAGTTGGTCTTTGGGAAACCTAAAAAATGAGCATGCGTCGCGTAAACTTTGATGAAACTCCTCCAAAGGTGGTGGAGAATGAGCGTGCAAAGATCCTGTGGGACTTCCAGATACAGACCCACCGAATGGTAATGGCGAACCAACCTGACATCGAAGGGCAGAGGACAGCCGTGGTGGTGGACGTGGCAATTCCAAGCGATGATAACATCCGGAAAAAGGAACATGAAAAGCTTGAGAAGTACCAAGGTCTCAGAGAGGAGCTGGAGAGGGCCTGGAGGGTAAAGGTGACAGTAGTGCCCGTGGTGATCGGTGCACTCGGGGCAGTGACCCCGAAGCTAGAAGAGTGGTTACAGCGGATCCCCGGAACAACCTCGGACATCTCGGTCCAGAAATGTGCAGTGCTAGGAACAGCAAAGATACTGCGCAGAACCCTCAAGCTCCCAGGCCTCTGGTAGAGGACCCGAGCTTAGAGAGGGATAACCGCCCGCGGAGGGCCAAAGGTGAGATTTTTTTTTTAATATTTTTTTTTTTAAACCCTCTAAGCCAATTAATTTTGACCAGACTGGCTGTGGATACCGCCTCAGGAACGGAGCAAAGTTCAGTCACCTCCTCTACATGGATGACATCAAGCTGTACGCCAAGAGCGACATCGACTCTCTGATCCAAACAACCAGGATCTATATAAATAGAAGTGTAGAAGGATGGTGACTCAGAGAGGCAAGGTAGTCCACACAGAAGGGATCTCACTCCCAGAGGGAACAATAGCAGACGTTGAGGACACCTACAAGTATCATATACCACAGGCAAATGGCAACCTCGAACAGGCAACGAGGAAAGCGGCAACTTCCAAATACCTCCAGAGAGCAAGGCAGGTCCTAAGAAGTTGACTCACTGGTAAGAACACGGCCCGGGCAATTAACAGTTACGCCCTGCTTGTGATCAGATAGCCTGCAGGAATAATCAGGTGGCCAAAGGATGCGATTCATTACACAGATGTTAAAACTCGAAAGCTCCTCACCGTGCAATGCGGGTTCCATCCCAAATCCAGCACCCTGAGACTGTACATAGGCCGTCAAAATGGAGGCCGAAGACCAGTGAGTGTGAGAGCCATTGTCTAGGACGAAACATTAAAACTCCATAACTACATCATGGAGAAGGCGAAAACGGATGACGTACTCAGTGAATGTCTCAGGCAGTGGCGAGATGAGGAGGTGCTGGAGGCGAGCCCATCATGGGAGAACAGGCCCCTACACGGCATGTACCACCGGAGCATAACAGAAGTGGCTGATCTCAAGAAGTCCTACCAATGGCTAGAAAGGGCTGGCCAACAGGACAGCACAGAGGCACTCATCATGGCTGCACAGGAGCAGGCACTGAGCACCAGAGCGATAGAGGCCCAGATATACCACACCAGACAAAACCCAAGGTGTCGGTTGTGCAAAGAGGCACCTGAGACGATCCAACACATAACTGCAGGGTGCAAGAGGCTGGCAGGGAAGGCCTACATGGAACGCCATAACCAAGTGGCTGGCATAGTGTACAGAAACATCTGTGCAGAGTATGGGCTGGAAACCCCAAGGTCTAAGTGGGAAACTCCTCCAAAGGTGGTGGAGAATGAGCTTGCGAAGATCCTGTGGGACTTCCAGAACCAACTTGACATTGTGGTGATAAACAAAGGGCAGAAGAAAGCAGTTGTGGTGGACGTAGCTAGTCCAGAAACGGTAACATCAGGAAAAAAGAACACAAAAATCTTGATAAATACCAAGGGCTCAGAGAGGAGCTGGAGAGGGCCTGGAGGGTAAAGGTGACAGTAGTGCCCGTGGTGATCGGTGCACTCGGGGCAGTGACCCTGAAGCTTGAGGAGTGGTTACTGCAGATCTCTGGAACAACCTGGGAAATCTCGGCCTAGAAATGTGCAGTGTTAGGAACAGCAAAGATACTGCGCAGAACCCTCAAGCTCCCAGGCCTCTGGTAGAGGACCCAAAAGTATGTCTAACATAAAACGTTTTTTTAGATTTTATTTGTATGCAAAACAATCTCTATCAGGCAAACAGTGATTCATCTCAAATCTACAGATTTACAAGGCACTATTCATTCACTTCATACACTGTGGTAATTTACTATTTCTGCCCTGGGGCAAATCAACAGACAAGAGGTTGGCAGTTTATGCCATCGGCCACTGCCAAAAACACACACACACACACTTTCCAATTTTTGGTACAAACAGGTTCTGCCCTGCTTAGCCTCTGAGGTTTGATGGGATCAGGCTTTCACATGTAGGTGGCACCACACATAATCCTTCTAATCCATTAATTTAGAGAATAATACCAATTAACAGCAAAGTCAATTCAATCTTAGAACACACAATAGAAATGGAATTGCTGTGCAGTTATCAAATTATCAAAGATGCACATGGAGTGGTTTCAGTGTCCACAGCAGAAATCTCAATGGTTCACAATGGTTTCACAATCTATAGTAACTAATTATGTGCAATTATCAGGTAATGAGTTTGTAGTTTATGACATTGACTTCAGTAAATGTGTACTCTTTATCGTTAGCACTTTAACCCTATTACTACCATTCTCATTGTCAGTGTTGGGCACGTTACTTTGAAAACGTAATTAGTTATAGTTACTAGTTACTTCTTCCAAAAAGTAACTGAGTTACTTACTGAGTTACTCCACTATGAAAGTAACTAGTTACCAGCAAAAGTAACTATTGCGTTACTTTTTCGTTTCGTTCTGGAACATAATGTGCACTCGACGTGCACATTTTTACCTTTAACCTCAGTGAGTTTCTGGAAAAGGCTGTTTTGTTGCTGGAGTCCTCCTCACTCTTCTTCACTCTGTGCTGTAAGCTCTAAACACTCGCCACTGTGAATGCGGAAACACCAGTGAGGTGCGGTGAGGTTAGTGATTGGTGAGGCACTGATTTCACCCTAATCAGATGAACATATATATCATATAAATCAACAGAACCAACAGAGTGGCTTATCACAATTTGTTTGGCTACAGCAGAATATGTTCCATGCCCTCATTGTTTGCTCATACAAATTTCAAAAGTATGAAAAAGCACATTTTAAAGTGTGTTATGGGCCTTACCTTAAACATGACCTGCACAGACCACTTCATGTTTAAGTCCAGATAATAGTTTTAGCGCAGATATGTTATCCTCCATTTGGAAATAAGTCCAAAACGGGTGTCTCCTCCATAAACTCCTCTCGTGTTTCGCTTCAGCCGACTCTCGTGTGCATCCAATTTATAAAATCAACCTTCTTACCTTTCACCTCTCTTTCTTATCATTCCTATTGTGATTGGAACATTACCCTAAGTGCATTCTAAATCATCTTAAAATGTGTTATATGTATGTTAGCCAAACCTGTTGCTGCCCTTAGCAGATGAAGAACAAGAAATGAGCTTTCTGATGGAATCGGATGCAGCCGAATTCTCCGCTTAATTACAAGCTGTGGTTGAGCGCAATAAAGACCCATATTTGTTTCAAAAACACAATTTATGACCCATCTTCTCAACTGTAGACATGTTGATTGTAAAGGAAATATGTTTTACATCAGCCAATAATTGCTGAGATGTTTTCTCATCCTCCCTTCTCTCATGACAACACGCGCACGAGTCCTATCACAAAGTAAAAAAAAAATTCAATGTGCGACTTGAGTAACGTGCAGTAACGGGGTGTCGGCAATGATAGCAGCGTTATAGTTACAGTCAAAGTAATTAGTTAGATTACTTGTTACTGAAAAAAGTAACGCCGTTATTCCCATCACTGCTCATTGTCGGTGAAACATAATATTGACCATGGCTAAAAATCAATCCAAATCGAATATTGACCAATGACTCGATCGGTCGGCTCAAAAAGTCATTAAACAAAGATTATGAGTGGATATTAAAACAAACTGTCCTGCCCACTCAGTCTTTATTTAGCCGTGTGCGGCGGCACGCTGACAGTGCATCATTAACCACTCTAGGCTCACACACAATAATGAGCACTTACTGTCAACCACTTCAACCCTGAGAGATAAAACCACTTCACTTTGTTATGGTTTACGTACCCTCCAAGAACACCTGAAAACCCTACAGTAATGAGGGACTACTACAGCCTCAGCAGCCACACTTTAAAACTGATCAAGTTAACCCTCTGAGAAGAACAAGCTTGAACAAACCACATTCTTGTTGTATATATACAGTATGTATATGTATATATACAGTATATATGTATATGTATATATATATGTCTCTGTATGTACATATATTATTTCACTCCTCCGTTTGACACAACTAATATTAGTTTTGATACCCTAATACCTTCACAGATGCTCTTTGGTTGGTCCAAGATTAATCTTAGGAGATTTCGTCATTTCAAAACCACACATTGTAAACATTTACAGTATATATAAAAACACATACAGAATGAGTTTGCACACACTTGGATATATCCTTTAAGATATAGTTGTGTAGAATGGTAAAGGTTCACTCAATCAAGAACAAAAACAGACAGATCGATCTCCTTTAGTAACAAGCTTTCTCCGGCGCTTCAATGCCTCCCTTCATAGAGTGCTGCTGCTGCTGCAGCCAAAGGGCAGGAGGAGGAGCCTCCCACATTGATCAGTCTAATTCCATTATGTCCACAGTTTATGTCACTGATTGTGTCTGGAGTTTGTGCAGAAAAGTTAAATACTGTTTGATTAATGAATCTTTTCTCTTTTCCTTATCTTCTCAAGGACCCAGATCAACTTCACTGTTGCCATCGACTTCACCGCCTCCAACGGTGAGGCCAGTCACACATTTATATTTATAACACATGGATTTTCACATTAACTGAAAGGTACAAACTGCCAATAATATAAAACTGTAATACTTTTTTATTAAAAAGCGAGAACATGTTTGTGAAACAGTAATAATAATTCACTTAAAATGTCCAAACATGTTAAATGTGTATTCTAAAAATGCATTATGATCTTAGAATAAGGAGAACATGTATCCACACAAGTCATATTGCCTACAATACTATACTGCATGCATTCTTACTGCTCACAGTAAGAATTCATGCCTGAGGTGTTGGAGATAATAAAAAGTATGTATTTGAATAATTGGCATATATAATCTGATGTTTTGCTCTTTGAACATATTATACTAATGCAAAATAATCACACAATCACCAATGCGTATTGCTAAAAACACTCATGGTAATATTTATGACAATTGCATTTCAGAATTTTGTTTTAAATGTTAAACCTATAGAAATGAATCAAATGTTTTAAGAACTTTTCAAATGAAGTCCCAGTTACTTCACTTTGTTACAGTCAAACCATACTACAGCCCTCGGCAGCATTTACTCAATTCTCAAGCAAAGTGAAGTGAATAGCTCCCTGCATCACCACAGCGGGGTCATTCACCCTCAGTGTAATTTAAGTCTGTGTTGTCGCTTGGTCCTTGTGATGGAGAGCCAGCAGCAGCACACACAAATCCTGTTCACTTCGATTCAAGGCTGAAAGTATAAGAAGTCAGTTTGTCTAGTATTTCCATGAGGTCTTTGATAAAGCCAGCACACTCCAGTCAATATGGCATTTCATCAGGGGCCCTGTAATCTGCCCAGTGTATTTTCTAAAGCGCATTGAGAGTGTGAATTGGTTGTGGGTTTAAATCCAGGCAGAATGTGTGAAGTAAATGTGTCGCTGTTCCTCTGGTGTAGAGAGAAGCGCTGAGGTGAGCCAAGATCAGTTGTTTAGAAAAAGAAAAATGTTCCTAAACAGTTTAATTTGAATCATTAGTTCAAAGTCAATTAATTTCTCACATTTGGAATTTCCGTTGAAATCATGGATTCCACAAATAGCTGCCAATAGAGCCATTGAATATCTCGCTAATTACATCTACACAAGAAGATCTAAGTGGAGTTGGTGTTCACAGCTCTGAATAGAAAAAAGTCTAATAAATTAGGATTTGAGGATTTTGTAGCTGATTAGTTCTTGTTCATCCGTGTATAGTTGCTTTGATTAACTAAATGAGAAATAGTGACAATTAAAAAAAAATGAAAATCTGCGTCTGAACTTATTATTTGCACACATGTTTTATATTATGACTAGACAATACCAAATTACAGCCGCTCGAGCAGGTGGTCATTTCTTGTGCGCTTTGACACTCTGCTTTCTCTTTGCACGTGAATTATGCTTATTTAGAATTAGATATTAATATTTCCTGTATTAAGAAATCAATGAATGAAGTTGTAGAGTTTGTACTGGGTTCTTCCTAACAGCAGGAGAAATGCAGGAGCAGAGTTGCTAAAAGAAAAAGGTATCAACTGCAAGTACCAATCTGACCCAAACTGTACTCACAAAACGTAAATTTAACTATAAAAAATCTGTAATATTCAGGGGTTGATCATATATTTGTGAATTGAAAGATTGGTCTGCTATTTTACTTCTCATTGTTGAAATTGACTCAGATACAACGTCTTAATATCGACAGTCTTGGTCCTTTCTCATGTTTTATTGTTTCATTGTTGTAGGGAACCCTGCTCAGCCCACCTCTCTGCACTACATGAGTCCGTACCAGCTGAACGCCTACGCGATGGCCCTGAAGGCAGTGGGAGAGATCATCCAGGACTACGACAGTGACAAAATGTTCCCCGCACTGGGCTTTGGAGCCAAGTTGCCTCCTGAAGGCCGAGTGTCCCATGAATTTGCCCTGGTGAGAAACGTGTGAAGTAATAAAGACTTTACAAATGTTTAGAAGGGAAGTGTCCAAAGTGATATTTAAATTAACAGCAATTATCAAAACAGGTATAAAAAGCTTAATTACAATAGTGAAAATAACTTGTTGACTTTCCTGGAAAATGAATAGCTTCTAAATAGCACTGTGAATAAATCCAGTGGAAGTAATAAGTGAAGAAATGAAGGCAACTAAATTGTCTTTTCTTGTCTGTTGTTTTTCAGAATGGTAATCCTCAGAACCCCTACTGTGCCGGAATAGAGGGCGTGATGGAGGCTTATTACCAGAGCCTGAAGTCAGTACAGCTCTATGGACCGACCAACTTCTCACCAGTCATTAATCATGTTGCCAGGTAACCACAATCTAAGTCTGCCATTTATTCACACTTCCTGTTCATTTTTGTTATTTCCTGACCAGCTAGGCTAGTGATGAGCCTGGTTTGGATGTTTCTATCAGGGCCCTGAGCCCTCCTCAGTTTATGTTGTATAAAAAGACCACAAATTATAAATGATACGTTTGTGAAAAAAAAAGCCTTAGAAAAACATTGGAAATTAGATCTGGTCCCTTACATCAGGATGATTTTTCAATGTGGCCTTCAGGAGGAAAGGTGTGCCCATGTGCGACCTCTTCTTTATTCTGGCACTTGTGATCAAATGTTGGCCAGTTGGATTGGTTTCCAAACTTCCCCCCTTTAAATAGAAAAAGCTTTTTGTCCGATTCTGCTACAATTACAGAATTTGTCAAACATGCGCACTGTCATTGTCATGTCATGTCATGACGATTATTGGGAGAAATGGAAAGAAGCAAGTGGCATGCGCTTGAGGAGGAAAGTTAGTGCTCTGCAGTGTTGGGCAAGTTACATCAAACAATAAACTAGTCATAGTTATTCATTACCTCTCCCCGAAATTAATTGCATTAGTCATTGAGTTTTAAAAGTATCTAATTACCAGTGAATTCAATTCCATAAATACAAGTTTAGATAGTGAAATCCATTATGTTAATTCATTTTAATGGTTGCTTCCGGGTTTACCACTATCGCTTTTTGTGACATTAAAACAGCATTTTTGTCATGAAAACATTAACTGATATTTCTGAAAACCTCTGTGCACGTGTGTCACGAATGTATTTGTATAATGTATTCTCTATTTAACATTTAAATGTATGGAATGATTGAGCATGGCTAGCTCCGATAGCTTCTCTCGCAGAGACAGTAGTTGTGACGATGTGGCCGGACTACTTGCAGAGTAATCTACACACCTGAATTAAAAGCACAGAGTGCGTTGCCAAAGGGCAGCAGTCATTATTTGTTTTGAGAGGTCCGTTATCAAGAAATAATGACCGGTAGAACGTTTTGAAATTACATTCAAATCAGCGTTCTACTGTTGCTGTGAGGAGCCGTGTAATAAACTGTAAAAAAAAGTGCTATATAAGTACATTTTGATCAATTGATTGATTGATATCACAGGAAAGTAATTATGTATGATTGGTCAACTTTATGTCAATCAGATTGTGCCTTTGTTTTTGTCTGCATTTCGGGATAAACATGAACAATCTGAACAGCTTCTGTGAATGTGACAGCCCTGTGTGTCAAGAAAGTAATGGCAGAGGAGAACCTAATTAGATTACTTACTGACCAAAATAGGAATGATGTTTTGTTAATGCTGTTCCCAACACTGATGCTCCAAAACTTACTAGACTGGCTAATGAACCCTGACTGTCGAGAGCTGCGGGGAGAGAGTGACTTTGGTGCTGTTTTGTGTATCAGAATCAGAGTCAGAATTATTTTATTGGCATTGTAAGTAACTAGCTGATACTTTGCTTTGGCTCATAGTGCAAAGTAAAAAAACTAGTAGTTGTAGTAGTAGATAGTATAAGGTGACGGTTGTAAACAGCAGGGGTCAGTGATAAGTTATGGAGTGTCCGTGGGAGCGGATCCCTCTCTCAAGGTGGGCCTCCCGAGGTTTCTCACTTTTTCCCTCTGGGCTTTTTAATCTGAGTTTTTCCTTGCCGATGCAGGAGGCTCTAAGGACAGTGGTGGTGATCCAGGGCACTCAACGTTCAACCACATTTCTGGACATTCATCAACATTTATAGACATTGGTCATCTGAACCTTATGGACCAATGGCTCAATGTGTTTTTATCATTGCATGTCTTGTGTTTGAACTGTTTGATTCTCTGATCTGTGTTGGCGAATTCATTGGTTTTGTAAAGTCCTCTGTGACTTAGGGCTACACAAGAGTAAATTGAATTGAATGAGTCCGACAGCACAGGGGTATGTTATACTGACTTAAGGCTGTGTCATACAATACTGCAACAGCGGCAGGGGTCCCATGCACTGACGGCCATGTACACCTACAAAGTATTGTTTTAAACACCTTTAACAGACTTGACGGATGACGCCTGGGGACTGCAAGCGCTGTGATATGGTCCTGGAAAGAGCAGTGGAGCGGACTTAGGAAGGGGAGGCAGGGGGACAATAGGGGAGACTAAGAGATCCAGGTGTCCAAAAACAATGTTTGTCAAATACAAGTCCTCATTTAAGACCAAAATTACAATATGCGTGAGTACAGACAAACCCTGTGCTTCCGGAGAAGACACCTTTGTCCTTTCTCGTGCTACAGCCGCCTCCCCTCCACCGTGTATGCAGAATAATGGTGTGATGCTTCTTTGGGGCGTTTTAAAGCGTTATTGACCATTTTATTCAGTTCAATTCAATATATTCTTGTATAGCCCTAAATCACAACAGTAGTTATCTCAGAGGGCTTAACAAAACCAGAAGATCAGAGAATCCAACACTAAAAATGCAATAATCAATAAACACAATGTCCATAAATGTTGCGCACATCTGTGTTTCACTTATTAGATAGATAGATACTCTATTGATGCCCGTAGGAGAAATGCAGTTGTCCAGCAGCAGAAATACACCCATTCATACAAACAATTTTCCGTTATTTTGGAAGCACGACAAACAAACAAGGCTACCAGCGTTATTATAATACTGCACATCCACTGACGGACAGCCAACCCCAGCAGATCAGTTAGGAACATACTTTTGCATCGGTAGGAGAAGTCTGCTGGTCCTGGGGCTCTCTGACGCTTTGCAGACACACACAGTTGGAGAGCGCTGGAGAAGTTTGCTGGACCCTTTTAACCTCACATTTTTTACATCTGGTTAAATTACCAACAGCACCAGACTGCACAGTGCAGTAAAAACATGAAATTCATCTCGAATCTTTCCACAGCCCGGCACAGCAGTTTCGTTTGTCTCTTAATAATGATTATAATCCATTTAGCCAAATCCTTTAAAACACACCAATACAAACCTGTTTTTTTTAAATGAAGTTTTAAGTTTAATTGGGCTACAATCCTCAAGACAGAAATTCCTTTTACATGTCATTTTCTCTACTTAATGAGTACATTTAATTTTCTCACCCTCTTCGTGATATAACAAGCTCTAAAGTGTCACTAGCTCTTTAACTAGAGCAGACGCACAGACAGAAGTCCCATCATGATTACATGTGTGTTATTATGTTATGTGCTGCTGGAGTCGTGCCATTCTGGAAAGCCTGCAATTAACAATATGAAGTGATTGAAGTATAATTATGTGTTTTTCTTTTTATCGTTGGTTGAATATTTTAAAGACTTGAATTTAACTTGCACTTCATGAAGCAGAAGAACAACGAAAAGCAGCGATTGGAAGAAATATAATACGTCAATGATGGTGATTGTTTATTTCAAACGTATATATCAAATACAAAATTAAACCATAAACAAGACACAGAAATGACTCTTTATTGAGAACTGTTCTGTTTCTCTTTCAACACAAACAACACATTTCCCAAAGCAAGATGTATGTGATAATATTCAAGAATTGTGCACATGAAAAAATATAGTCATTAAACATATTTAAATAACTTTCAAAGTTAACATTCTTCCAATTTTACATCATGTTCTTTTGGCAACCAATAATGGAATACACGCAGAATATGTTATAAAACGTTACTCTCTTTTTGACACAGTTTAATGAACAACTTTTTTTTTTCCCCAGCTTCATTTTTCGAAAAGTAACCTTCATACCTTCTGATAAAATGAATACATTTCTGCATATCCGACTTGTGACAAAAGAAGTTGGAGACGCTGTCAGAAAGCATATTAAAAATGTCACTGTACTCCCATGATCCTGCTCCTTAATGACTTTTCTCGGCCTGGACTTCGCCGGCTGCAGGACAGATTGCTCCTTGCACTGACTGGTACCAATGATAAGGCTGCTTTTAGATATAAGTCCCCTCACTTCCTGTCTTACCTGCAGTGGCTTGAGACTTTAGTTGACATTACATATTTGGTTTATTTTTCATTTAGCATTCTTTTTTGTCCTGTATGTGTGTCCTGAATAGTGTTGGGACAAATATTTTAGTATAGCCAATATAACTATCTCCCATCTACATATAACATTTAACCAGGCCTTACTCTGTTTCTGTGTTTTTATTCTGTTATTGTGTGTTCCAAATACTGTACTGAACATCTACTGGAGGCGGCACATAAGAATTTCACTTCATGTAATGTTTATGTGACAAATAGTAAACTAAAAAGTTCACCGCAAGCAATCCAATAGCTTTTGCACAATCCTGCCTACGGACAGACACGCAATTTTACAATAACAGAGATCACATATGTTTGTAGAACGTGTGATTTTCATTCAAAAGCTGCTTCTTGCAAACTCACACTTTCACTCTCTCTTATATTGATAGATCTAAAGTGGATAGTACTGTGGTTACATAATAACACTCTATGGGAAACACACAGGAGTCAGCTGTGGCAATTTCACTGAGTAAATATCAGATCCACTAAAGGTCAAGGTTATGAAATCTATAGTTGGAAAAATGCCAGCCATGTTGAGTTGATACATCAAGACTCTTTTTACAAGGGTGCAGTCTGAATGAGTTACACGATCGAAAAGAAAAGGCTTTTTCAGGCCAGACGGACATTTCTATTACATTTTGAAGGGTGTTGGGTAATAAGGTAGTATCCAGTCACAAGCCAAGACCAGATCCTGTCAGATTTGTGCTCAGTTTATTAGCTGCCAGTGTCGCTTTCCAAAAAGGACAGTTAAAGAGGGTCTTTTGGTTCTTCTACTGTTTATGTGTGTTCGTTTGTCTTTGCACAAGCTTAATATGCAGAAAAGACACTGAAAGCAAAGGTTTGAATTGTATTTGTAATTTTAAAAACTCCAGTAAGCACATACACTCTTACTTTGTTACCTTAAACATCAACACTACAAAAGGATCTAATAAGCTGTCAAAAAAGGGAACAATACTAAAACTGGAATGGATGGAATGGTAGTGGAGGAGTGAGTTTGTACTGATAGAGGTGAACACTGGGATGAGCTGAGCGAGGACACTTGAATGCAGAGGAATATTTATTCTTTAAACGTTCATGTATGTACGGTTCACTATCTTTAAAAAAACAAACATACTTGTGTAAATGAGAACTAGAATCCATAATGGCACAGTGAAAATTTCATGTTTTATCGTTATATATATTTGTGCCTCTTCACCTAATAATATCCCTTAAAGGAAATGAATATGTCTGTGAGTGTGTGTCCTGTTTTATCAATCCTGTGTTGTGTGTTTTGGGCAGATACGCCGCCTCAGTGAAGGACGGCTCGCAGTACTTTGTTCTGCTCATCATCACAGACGGCGTTATCTCAGACATGGCACAGACCAAGGAGTCCATCGTCAATGTAAGAAATGCTGCTTTGGTTGGGTTCTTTGTCATGAAATATTTCCACCATCTTTCAGCTCGGGTCCCTAGATTAAATCTTTCCATAGCTTTCACAAGTTGTTTGTCCCAACAGAAAGAGTTTTTTAAAAGTAAAATATTGTCAACAAAATGGTGCACAACATGCTGTCGTCACCTTAACATGTTACCTTTTACATACGAAGAAAGATGACGACAGATGCATGTGTGAACTAATGATGTCCTTTATATCCCACTGGTTTTATCATATGAACTGCTGGAGCCTGACCTGCTGCCAATCTAGTCTGCTAAATATTTCAATATTTTGATAGGAAATTACACAATACACATTGGCATGTTGTGAATAGATGGACATAAAAGCATTAATGTGCACCTGGAGGGGGACAATACTCAAACTCTGAGAACAGATTGTATCACAGATGATCTTTGGATGTAGAACATTCTAGTTTTGCATTTAAATATTTTTTGCTATTGGATGCAACTTATTAGCAGAATATTATTAAAGTGATAGTCTGTAACTCTAAATGAATTACAAATTTTAGGAAATGTGTTAAATTGATCTCCTGGCCTTAAATGTTGATATAAAATAAGTCATTTTATTAATTCTAATATTACGGGCAAGTCCCACCTTCCCTTCTCTTAGCTATAGCTCAGAATCCCCGATGCCGTCGAGGTTAACCAATCGAGTCATGCCAAGGGCTGTCAATCATCGGCGCTGATGCTCGCAGCTGCACGCAGCTGCGCAGTTGTTTGTTTTCGCGGAGCCTCCGAATCAAGCCTCTATTAGGCTCTGGAACAACATGAAAACTGAACAAAGAATTCTGAACATCCGCACTGAGTTACCCATTTATAAACTGAACCTATATCCATAATCAGATCCTCTGCAGATGTGTCCTATAATGTGCAATTCATGATAATAGCACTTCCTGGTTTGCCACGATCGCTTTTTTTGTGCATTAAAACATTATTTTTTTCATTAAAACGTTCACAAATAATTCTGAAAACCTCCGTGCATGTGTATTAATAATGTATATGTATAATGTGTTCTCTGATTAACATTTCAAAGTGTTACGGAAACGTAGGTGTAGACCAATCAGAAAGGAAGGGGGAGGGAGCTTGCGTCGTTTTTTTCAAATGAAGTACCTCTGTCTGACAAACTTCAGACAATCACTTTATCAGAGAATTGCGTATTCCACTCAAAACACACATATGTAAGACACCTTGTTGGAAAATTATACAAACAATAATAATGATAACAAAGATGACCAAGATAACAGGAAATGTGCCATAAGGTAAGGTGCACCACCACTGCATTTGACCCATTCTTTTTGAGTAACCTGTCAAGACCATAGACTGTATATATTAGCGGACAGAGTCACGCCTATCTCCGCCGTTCTAACAAATGGGCCAAAAAATGTGCTTTACTGGAGCAATCCAAAGTGGCCGTGAGTGGTCCCGCCCACAAGAAAATTGTGAAAAAACGCATCTGCGCATGCGTCAGCCGGCGCAGCTCCATTCATTTGAACGAGAGACTTCAAAAATTCACAGCAAGTAAACTAGAGTGGACCAAAATAATCCACCCCCCTCAGCATTGACACACGAACGGAGCTTTGGGCCAAGAGCCAACTTTTGGTCCATCCTGTAAAGACGTTTTTGAGAGGTCTGCCAATGCTATATGTTTGCATTGGCTAATTCTTCTTCTGGGTCCACCCCCATCGGCCCGGGGTGGTATTGCAAGCATGTCAGCGCACGTCATTTTGGCCACTTTTGAGCTGGGACCCTCCCCCACTGGTCAAGACCAGAGGATGTTATGGTGCAAGGAATGGGGCATATGGTGTAAATCCATATGCCCCATTCCTTCCTCTATGTTTTAATTTGCAGCCTTTTCTTACCTAACAACACAAATGTATTTATTTACTTATTACCAGTCAAATTGATTAGATTAGATTTTTTACAATCAAATAATTTCCAAACATATCTGCGCCCAGCCATTTTAATGTTTCCTCATTTTTGTCTTGTTATGTGTCCAAACATAAAAATTTGATTTTTGTGAAAATCCAACACATCCAACTCCAATTCCTGTTCCTCTGGGCTACAGTATGTCCTCTGCTTTCGTTGCCGTGGGCAACGCGGTGGTACAGTAGTTAGTGTGCGCACATCACAGCAGTTAGTTTTGGCGGATGGCTGTGTCTTAATAGGTTTTTGGAACACACTGCATACTGGTATCAGCCATGATGTATGTAACAATCACAGACAAAATAATAATAGTATTCCAGCTCATAATCTTTGCCTTTATAACCAAACTTTAGTTATTGTCTTGGTATATTTTTTACTTTGAGCTCCAGCACAGTGACTTTTGACAGCTTACTCTAGTCTATACCATTGGCAGGCTTTTCATCACTGTCACATCCAACCCACACTAAGGCAACACTTTTAAATGCCAGCCATTTTGAATATTTTTTTTCTTTTTTTAAAAGGAAGAAAAACATGTTTAAAAAGTAACCCAGGGCACAAGTATAGATTTTGTCAGTGGATAAACACAGGATGACACAGGCAGGAAGAAGACCTCCTCCTAAAGGCATCGGCCAAATGATGTTTTGTATCCAATCATCTGTCTCCCGCTGCCTTGGGTCACCACACTACACACACAAGCAGCATTTCACACACACAGCACCAATCCTTTCAGGAACACGCCATTTGTAAGATGTCAGCGCATTGGTCCCCTATGATATATACAGTTGATGTCTCAACCCACGCAGCGCTCCAGGAGGTGCCATCCGGGCGAGGCATCAAAGAAGACATTCATGCTCCAACGCAGACTTTTCACATCTACATGCTATCAATATGTATATATATATTTATACTGTATATATACTGTGTATATACTGTATATATATATATACTGTGTATATACTGTATATATATATATATATTAGTGCTGTCCAACGATTAAAATATTTAATCGCGATTAATCGCATGAATTTCATAGTTAACTCGCGATTAATCGCAAATTAGTCACACATTTGCGTGCTGTGTGCAATTGCTTTTTTTATTGAAAACAATGTGTAGTGTTATATTACACACTAACATTTGATGCAAAATCATCAATAAATGGATGACAAAATAAATAATTGGTAACAAAAAGCCCCTTCAATGTGTGTGTGTGGGTGTGTGTGTGTATGTGTGGGTATAGACCATAGACTGTATAGAAACATCATGGTGTCATTATGATGATGATAAACAATCTGTAAATATTTTGTAAATTTGTTCATGTAAATACTCTATGCTGTTTCTCTGTTTACCTTCGGTATATCTATGACTGTATACTGTTTGCTTGTATTGCCTTTTTTATTAACCCCTCCCCCCATCTCCCACTTCATGTCCCCCCCCCCCCCCCCCCCCCCCTCCCTCCTATGTGCCCTTCTGGGTTTCTTCTTTTGGCCCCCTGTATCTCCAACTACATATTGTTTGTAATCTCTGTCTACAATGTATCTGAACTAGTCCTTTTCTTTGTTTCTATGTGTTTGTCTGCAATAAAAAAATGACGGCGTTAATATTGATTTGCGTTAACGCGTTAATAACGCGCTATTTTGGACAGCCCTAATATATATATATATATATATATGCATTGTTTTATCACAAAGTTTGTGATTTCTGGATAACGCCTCATGTATCTCCTCCCTTTGCTATAGGCCTCCTGTATGCCCATGTCCATCATTATCGTGGGAGTGGGACCTGCAGAGTTTGATGGTAAGATAAAACCTCATTCAATTACAAAAAATATTCAACAACAAGAGAAACATGTGCCTTATTATTCTCAATTAAGTTTTACAATCTGTGTTGTCAATCCCTGGACAATTATAGCGAGATAAAGTGAACTTCCTCTGAGCCTGGTCTTACCAAACCATTGTACTAACGGTCTGATTTTGCTCAATTGAGCTTTGTTACTGTAATAGGTGTTTCTGGCTTTAAGACCCAACAGTGAGATGGAGTCTTGTAAAAGTAACATTTTGTGAGCCTATCAGATCACAACATGCAATGTTCCCAGTGATGTGCGGTGAGCTTGGTGATTGAGGCACGGGCTTCACCCCAATCAGATGAACATATATATTATATGTATCAACAGGACCTACAGAGAATTATTCACAATTTGTTTGGCAACAGCCGAATATGTTTCATGTCCGCATTGTTTGCTCAATACAAAGTTGCTCCTGTGAAAGTTAATTATCTCCTGGGCGTCGTCCTCTCCCTTGTTCTCCTGATAGGCAAACTGCCTGTGGCATGAGCAGTCAAAGTTCTAGCCTCTCAAATCCTTCATTGTGACGGATGTTCCACTGGTCTGTAGTCCTTGCATCCTGTCGGCCTTGCTACCTTGGGGACGGATACCAGGCAGAAGGTTTTCCAGCGGGCAGGGACCTTAGACCGTATATATTAACGGACATAGTCACGCTTATCTCCGCCGTTCTAACTAATGGGCCAAAAATTTGACTTTCATGGAGTGATTCAAAATTGCCGCGGGGGCTGGAAAATGTGAAAAAACGCATCTGCACATGCGTCAGCCGGCACGAGCCCCATTCATTTAAACGAGAGACTTCAAAAATTCACAGCCAGTAAACTAGAGTGGTCCAAAAAATCCACCCTCCTCAGAATTGACACACATGTGGAACGGAGCTTTGGGCCAAGAACCAAGTTTTGGATCATCCTGTAAAGACGTTTTTGAGAGGTCAGCTAATGTTATATGTTAGCATTGGCTAATTCTTATTCCGGGTCCACCCCCATCTGCCCGGGGTGGTATTGCAAGCATGTCAGCGCACATCATTTTGGCCACTTTTGAGCCGGAACCTGCCCCCACTGGCAGGGACCAAGCCCAGGCGATCCAAGATGGCGTCCTATTCAAATCAATGGATTGTGCTCAGTGGCGCATGTGCCATCATGGGGACCGAAAGATTAGCGGAACTTGCCCATATTTGGGCATCCTCTGGTCCTCCCTGTTCTGTCCAGTGCACCCATGTCCCATAATTTCATTTGTTTTGATAATTTTATGTATTGTATGCCATTGTTTTCACACGATTAAAATTAAAACTATGCTTTGATTGTTTTTGATAATAAGTGAAATCTGAAATTTAATTGAGGGTTTGTTCTTCTTAGCAATGGTGGAGTTGGACGGGGATGAAATCCGGATTTCCTCCAGAGGAAGATTTGCAGAGAGAGACATTGTCCAGGTGTGTAACATAGTTGAAAAAATGTAGAAAATATATGCCACAAAACCTTCTCCACGTACAATGCATCATTTATTTTCTTTGAATAGCCCCATTTAAAAGGAACAGTACGTGTTTGCTAACAATTACGAGATTAAGCACAATGGTTTCAAAATAGCAATTAATATAGAAATTGTAAAGGCTGCAATTGAAAAACATACTTAGCAACAAATGATGAAAAATATATAAAAAAAAACGTGAATTAATCAGATTTTTTCATTTCAAGGACAGTAGCGCTTGTTTCTAGATTTAAGTTAAAAATTCCTCGTTCTTGTTTTAGTGAAAACATTGACTTTTTGTTTATAGGAGACATTCAAAATGTGTTACATGTACAGTGTGTTATTTAAACAGTATGAAAAAATATATACTTAGTACTAAATCTGCTTTCCAAGATTATGCTGCTGCAACATTTGCTTTGAAATATTATTTCCTTGGTTAGTCCACTGTTTAAATGGCTTGATATAATAATATAGAACTGAACAAACATGAGCTTTGATCTGTAGCTTAAGAACTAGAACTGGGCAACACCCCATTTACATTCCGGTGTTCCGGTCCAGTGGGTATTATTCTCCAAAGGTGTGATAGTGTCTCCAGTGGTGAGTCACTGTCCACAACCTGAGGCGGTCTGTGAGTCTGAAAGCTGCTCTTCAGCCTTGTAGTTCACAGTGCAGCAGCTGGACGTACAGACAGGCCACCCACTCACTCAAATGTACTCTGGCCTTTATGTTAATACAATGGACCAGACTCTGGAGTTATAGATGTAAAAAAACAGCAGGAGGTCTGAAAGAAGTCACAATAAGATCAAAGAACATTGCATTATGGAGAGAGGTAAGAGATAAAGTTGGAGACTTTTTGTCCCCATTTGAAGTAATTTTATTGATACATCCAGAATAATGGGTATATTATAGCACAGAACAAAGATAAATAATGTAATCGGTCTGACTGGGGGTGTACATTCCTGCTTCCCTCTATGGACTGGTCTGAAAAACTCCATATCTTTATTATTATATAAAAATCTATTTAAAAAAGTGACAAGAGTGAAGAGTGTAAAATAGTACGGCAGTTGAAAGTTTACATGTATCTTAGAAAAAATAAATTGTAACCATTACAATTCCTGATATTTAAACTTTCTGTGCTAGGTCAGGTAGATGGATACTGTATTGTCTATAATGTGAAATGTCAAAAGTTATTTCAGCTTTTGTTCTCAACTTCCCATCATTTGAGGGTCAGAATTTGACGCAGACTATGTTGATAGTGTCTTTAAACTGCAGAATGCATCATGTTAGTAAGTAAGTAAGTAAGTAATCTTTATTTATATACCGCCTTTCACAGACCAGAGTCACAAAGTGGTTATGGGGGTGTTTTCCTGCTTTCAGAACTGGTGCACTGGTGGCATCAGAAAAAGGATAATATGTGGTCAGTGAGAAATTGACATTTAACACAAGTAAATAATGTATTGATCCAAAACACTTATTGTACTTGAATTTTTAAAAAAAATTTTAAAAATGTAAGTGAAAAGTATTTTTGCTATGGTGTATGAAAACTTCTGGTATAAATGTATTAACTATGACTTTTTAAAATTCAAAACACTTTATTTATCCCCGAGGGGCAATTAAAAAGCACTGAGAGTAGCAGAGTTACAGAATAAATTAAAAGCCACAATACCAAACAAAACAAAATGCATTTTTGTTGTTGTTTGAAATTATTGCATCAAATGTTTAACCTCAGGTACATGTATGAGCCCACTTGTGAATGTAAGTACAGAGAAATGGTTTGGTGGTCTGTGAATACAAACATGCAGGAGCCCACTTTTTTTCCCCACTTTTTGACCTTTTTTCACGACTGTCACATCTTTGGCTAGAGCGGCTTTTCCTGGTCTCACGTGGGCGCAGCACTGCTCATTAGCTGCCTTTTTAACAAGCACATATACTGTAGGTCTACATAGAAGACAGACCCAGTGTAACTATCTGAACATTATAACAGCTCAGCCTACGGCCTCTCATTATGAGCCAGCTAATAATGAGGTGAAAGAAAGAGCAGAGCGGATCAGTCAGACTTCTGTGTACAAATTGGCTCTAGTTATATTATGTGATGCAGTGATTAAGCTACAACTCATTAATGCAACGGAAGCATATAGCTCATTATACAGTATGTACAAGTTACAGTGACACATGTAGATCATGAGGTGAGAACCAACACTTCCTCATTGGAACTCCTGGAGCGAGCATACATGCAAGAGGATGTACATTTGGCCTCATAATTAACTTTAATTGGATGGTAATACAAATAAGTTAGTCTTTCCCAGTTGTGTTGAACAGAAAAGGGTTTGGTAAATGTATTTAACTCGACTCAAAAACTTAATTGTCTCCTAGGGGATTTTTTTTTTTGCATGTGGTGGAGCAGTAAAATGTTGTATAGAAGACCACCCAAAATCTTAGAGTCAACGATGAAACTACTGGAAGATTGGTGAGAGGATATGGTGTCCACAAAGGTTGTAGAAGGGGAAAAAAAAAAAAAAAAAAGTCCACCATCAAAACATTTTGTGTCATAATTTGGCTCAAAAGAAAAATTGATTAAAGAAAATGAAAGTTATTTTACCGTAAAATGTCCAGCATGATGCCTACATTATATTCACTTAATAAATGACTGACAACTAAAAATACCAGAAAAAATAATGAATTAAACTGCTTCAAGGAACTGGAAAAGTGGCTTACTAAAGACATTGCTTAAATCCATTAAAAACAAAGATAAACTATACAAACATTAACTCTCACCAAATGCAAACAAAATGATGACTTTTGAGTGATCAGTTTTAATAATTATATGAATTTAAATAATAACAATTATTTTAATTCATTTGGAGAATGTCCCTTTAAAGATGCAGCCAGTGATATTTTCCAGACGCATTTTTTTTATAATTGTGGGAAAACGTCCCTAAACCCTAAAAGTAGTCAATTTATCATGTGTTTTCAAATAGTAATGGAATGGAATTAACCAGATGCGTATAGTCCAATCGAATCCAATGGGATTCGTTCATCCCCGACGAACCAATGGGATGCGTTTACCCCCTTCACCCTCTTCCTGTTTTTCGCGAGTGCGCGCACATGAGTTGGGATTTTCTAAACATGAATGAAAAAACGCCGTTTGCCTACCTGTGGACCCTGTGGGCCTACCTGTGTGATAATTATCCCGTGCATTCTAGGGATGTAAATCGGTGACCGTTTAACCGGTGGTTGACCGTCACAGCGTTAACCGGTCAAAGTTGTCGGTTAAAAATAAGAAAAAGCGGAGAGGGGAGGTCTCTTAATAAGCTGTGTGCGCCAATGCATTAGTAGACTACGGGCGACTTTCATGGTGCACGCTCCACATATGCACGCAGCCACGCACACGCACGCGCGCACACACATACACACACACACACACACACACACAAACACTTTCCCCCCCTCCATACGTAACATCCACACGCATCATCTCTCCCCTCTGTTACCGCCAAAGTTCCACACTAGTGCAGGTCAGAACTACATTGGAGCTTATATTTACACACACATACATACATGTATTGTACACACACACATACCGGTCTGTCGCGCTCCTCTGTGTCTCGCAGCCCAAAGAATCCTCGCAAATACGCGGCCCCAGTCAAACACATGAAACATGTTTGTGCTGCTGGTCCTTGTCATTAGATCAGATCCACACACATCACTTTTAAACTTTAGCGGAGACCTGCGAGACGCGGCGCGTAACTCGCTGCTCTGACCATGTGAACAAGCCGTCTTTTGCTTAAAAATGCTTTAAGCCGCAGCACAGTATGGGAAGATTAAAAAAGCAGTTCTCTGTGCGCAAAGGTGCCGAAGCTGTTGCGGGTTTTGGCGCCGCTGTCTCAGCTCTGATCTAGTAGAACGCATAGATAAACTTATGAAAAGTACGCGGCTCGAAATGGCTGCTATTTCAAAGAACGTGGAATATTTTAAACTACGTGGTTAACCGGTTTCAACCGGTTAATGAGGCTCGGTGGTCGGTCATGAAAATGCATAGTTTTTTACATCCCTAGTGCATTCACACGGGATAAGCAATGTCTGTAATTTTCACTGACATCTCACATAACGGCCGCACGTGCGCGGGTCTCTCATGGATCTATAATAGGGCTCTCTCCGCTTCACGCAGTTCATTAGGACTGGCGTCTGACCACAGCAGCCACAGGGGCCATGAGGACAAACACTATATATGTGGATTTTACTGCTCTACAGTTCTCTGACCCGTACTTTCTGTAATGTTTAAACAATTCTGTTTGTACGGACTACCCGTGAACGCCCCAAATAATCTGCTAACATCATAGACTGTATTGCTAACATACGTGCGAGCCAGTTGTTTTGGTTTGGTGGAGAGGCGAGAGGAGGGGGGAGTAGTTTCCAGTTGGTGCAACGGCTAAGCTAACAAAATCGCTTACTGCATCTTTAATACCAGAAATCCACCAGATATTGACAAAAGTAATTACTCAAACTCACTTTTCCTGACACCAACTGACAAAATAGAGGTTATAGAATTATTATGGCATGAAAAGTGGATGCAATCTGGAAAACATGGAAAACTTCATAGCACAAGAGAAAATTGACCCACTGGTATATTGGGATGATTATCAGTGAGATTAATACCATAACTCTTTTCAAATCTGGGGACAGAAAATAAAACTAAGATAAGCTAAGATAGTCTAAGAAGATTATTCCTCCCACAGTGGGGAAAAGTCAGTGTCATCGTTGCGCACATTACAGCAGAATAAAAGGAGGAAATAAGAACACTCAGCTTGCACACAACAACAGGATGTATTATTTAAGATAATAGATAATAAGATAAAAATATAACAAATACAATACAACTCTGGAGCTATAATTCTACTTCGTTCGACGATAGTCCTCTAGTCGCGTATACACTGTAGTCAGCAGGAAGTATTTACAGATGTGTGAATTGTCCTTTAGCTGCAGAGAATAGGACCAGAATAAACAATAGTAATAATAGCAGCAAGTAAAGTGACTAGTGAATAATCAGAACAGTACTGCCTTATGTTATGAATGTCAGCAAGTTGTATATGGTAGGCCAAGCTGGATACTTGAACAAAATGTGTGTTCGAGTGTGAGAAACCACTTTTTACTGAAGCTCATTACCAAAGCTTGTAAATATTCGTACTAGAAAGTATGTGTGTCTTTGCAGTTCGTCCCATTCCGAGACTACATCGACCGTACAGGAAACCACATCCTAAGCATGGCCCGGCTGGCGAAGGACGTCTTAGCCGAGATCCCAGACCAGTTCCTGTCCTACATGAGAACCCGTGGATTCAAGCCTTCGCCTGCTCCGCCTCCTTACACTCCACCAGGCCAACCTCTCCAAACCCAAATCTGAGGACTGAGCACACGTGGGCGCCGTGTACGTAGGCTTACAATGACTTTGAAACAGAAATACTTCCATTTCCTTGCGGCCTGCTCTCATCGTTGTGGATAGCAGTGATGTTTATCGTGTTGAGAGTCGCGGTTTTGAGGACCAGAGGAGCTAATCCCAGTCTGTTTACTTCCACGTGTGGAGAATTCCTGTTCGTGTTTGGAATTTTGTGTCCTTTATGGACAGATCTGGGCTTGCTATTGATCAATGATTCCATGGTGATCAGAAAGGAGGTTGTAGGATATTTTGATGGTTTAATCTTCTGGAAAGCTGAAACTGTAACGTGCCCAGTCTTTGAGGAATGACTGGATGAATCTTTGTAAATAGCTTCTCTCTCTATCTCTCTTTCTATCTCTGTTTCTCCAACTCACACATGTTTACAGTGAACTCTAACAAGGATGATTTTTACTGATTTTTATACACCCTTTCAATGGGCTTGTAAAACTCCACATCTTTTCCTCTTTCTATCTCTTTCTATTCCTGGCATGTACGTCAGGTAGCAGCAGTGCAGGTCTTGGTAGCGCCTCTGTACCGTGCTGTACCGTACCGTACTGTCATCTGGTGTTAGACTTTTGCATGAGTGTAGCTCAGTGCATGCATATAGTGGCCCTGCACTACCTCCTCATCGTTTGAATGTGTTTGTGCGACGAGTGAGAGTCGAGAGGTCTGTCACATTATGTCTGTCACATGTCGACTGCTCTCCTACTGTCTACATGGCTCTTATCTTTCCTAATTCTTCCCATACAGAGTAAAGCAGTGTTTCCATTCAATGTCCTTTTTGTTATATTGTTTCATGATCTAGATAAAATACATACATGTTGGGCAGTGCCAGAAATCGTAAGATCAAAAAAATTGCAATCCCAATTTTTCTCAATATTCAAGGACCAACATGTGCATAAAAATAGTCTCCTAATTTCACAGATTTGGAGAAAAGACTCAGGGACAAGCAGAATTCCTCTACAATAGCCTTTCACATTTAAATATGCACAATTACATGTATACAAGAATAAACAAACAATTTAGAATTGTAAATTGAGATCAGTCAATGTGAGGGGAGCAAAAACACACCAGACAGCCCAACCCTACATGCATGTCAACTTGAATTTAAACTACACCCCATTTCACAAACGCCACTTGACCCACACTGCATCTCCATCTGCAGCCAAATATTATGACTGGTTTTCTAATTGTCAGTATTAAAATTCAGAATTTTAACATTTTAAAACCAGTTTATTTTAACTAAGATGAAAAATCCTAGGTTTGAGGAACGATTGCAATTGTGAATGTTAACATTGATTGAAAACACGGCTGCTGTAAGTCTCTGTCTCTCTGTCTTTTATACAAACTGTCTTGGCAATACGAGGCCCTCAACCCGCCAGGGCGCTGTCTCACTGTGTGTCCACACGCCTCCCCCTGTTGAAATGTAACAGCAGCTGCTCTCAAACTAATACAGTTTGAGCAAATAGAGCCCAGTGGTCAAAAATGCAGAGAATACATATTTTTCCTTCGTTGGCTTTGTGAATTTAATTTTCTTGTTTCAGTTTTATTTGCACCTTTTAGCTTTTGTATAGAGTTTTATGTTTTTTTTTTTTTGGCAGTTTGGATTTGTACGCAACAATCATAGGAAGTTTCAGTCTTAAATTCTTAATGTGAAGAATTTTAGATGTTTTTTGTTATTTGGTTTTGGGGGTGGGGGGTTATTTGGGTGTTTAGATTGACGTTTTGAATTGATTGAGTGAATTAATAAGATGAGATTTATATGATGTGTTTTGAACCTATAAGTACACTATAGGAAATTATGTTGAATGTTTAGATTCTTGCAATACAAGTTAGCAGTGAGATTCATATAAACCCTTACACAAAATTCAATATAATAGATAGATAAATAGATACTTTTGATTGATACTATTGATCCCCGTAGGAGAAATTCAGGTGTACAGCAGCAGAAAACCCTTCCAGGTCTGTTGTACAGTCCTGAGGAACAGCCGGAGGAACAAAGGATCTCTTAAAACGTTCCGTTCGGCAGCTCAGTGATAGGAGCCTGTTGCTTTGATTGCTCCTCTGAGCGGCCATAGTGTCATGCAGAGGGTGTCTGGAGTTACCCAGGATGCTCTGCCTTAGAGCCCTCATCCTTCTCTCCAGCAGCTCCCACAGAGTCCACACTTCTCCCCGTCACAGAGACACTTTTCCTGATCAGCCTGTTGAGCCGGTTACTGTCTCTTAAAGTCATACTTCCACCCCAACAGGTGACCCCAAAGAGCACGGCACTACCTAATAAAAGGCCTAAATAAAAAATTCCAATAAATAATTTAACACTATGATTAAATAAGTGCAATAAATATAATATTAAGTGTAACTTATAAAACCAGAGGTGCACCAATCAGAATTTGTCAGACCACAATTTTTATCAGCCCATCACTGATCACAGCTGATGTGGACACATTGACTTTCTTACTCAATTATTTGTATCAATCATGAATAAAAAAAATTGGAACTTTTAACATTTGTTTTATTTAGCCAATATTCTTTAATACTTCTTCTTCTATATTTGCCAAGGATTATTTGCTCTAGCTTGATTGCCCTCAGTAGGTTTTTAATCAATTCCATTTCCAGTCTGTTGAGGACATTCAGTGAAGCTGGTGGCTTATACACAGGGAAAAATTAACGAGGAAAGGAGCGAGAGGTGAAAGCTGCACTTGGTAAGTGTCTGTGCTTACTAGGGCGCAGAGCAGGGGCCTGGTTAAGGCCATTTTTGACATTGTTAAGTCATTATTAGTGAAAATGACATTTTGCGAGTCACTGTTAGCTTGATTATTCCAGTGATTGGCCAATCATGATCGGTGACCGAGCCATTGGTACACCTCTACAAACAACTATTGGAATCTGCACACCAAGCTCACAGTGACGTACACAAACATCTGATGTACTGAAGTTGTATCATACCAATATCAATCAGTTTTATGACATTTTTAGCTTTTGTCTTCTTCACCAGTTCTGATGTAGCACAGTGTGCAGCACCTGAGTTGTTGTGTAGTATGTTTTCCTGAAGTAAACTGCACAGTTTGAGTTCAGAACTAAAAGACATCTCATTACTGTACATCTCTCCCACCTGACAGCAGGGGTAACACGTATGTAGCTTTGCTGACTGGGGAAGAAAAGCAAATCGAGGGAGTTCATGATGAGCCCTTTCCCAAAGATGCTTCCTAGTCTCCTCACCTTTCAGCCGTCAGCTCATGTTTCCTCTTCGCTCCTCTGATTCTCTTCTTGCCTATTTGTATTCCATATTCTATCACTTTGCGTTGACGTCTGTACTGCCTAAAGTGTATTCTTAACAATCTAGTTTTTACAATCGAGTTCAAGTTAGAGTTAGAACTACTGTGGTTAATTATGTTAGCGTTAGGACTGTGGGTGGGTCTAACTTCATCACACATTTCCTGAAGATAAATGATGGAATCAAGAGGAGACGAGGAGGGATCTTTGGGACGGACCCATGACATTTGAGAAAGCATTCCCTCTAACCATGATATACTCACTCAGCCAGGGATCCCATTTTTCAAACAAGAAATGGTATGATATTATTATTGACAGAAAACTTATTTCTAAATGTCGAACTACCTCCTGAATATGTCGTGTTGAGCCAATCCCATTTGATATTTTCTGTACACAGAGTGGAAACAAAAACCTATGCTTCATTTGACTTGAGGTGTATATTTGTCTTGTTTTAAAACATATTATATTGCCAAAAAGCGCAATACTTTCACAATTAAATTATTGCATTGCATTTGAATACTTTCCAAGAACCAGGGATTGATTTTAGTATTGCCAAATAGAAACAATTTGCTGTAGGTTTGCTGCATTAGTAATTGCCAAGTTGAAATGGTGCTTTTGTTAAAACAACAGAAAACAAATATGAACTCATGACTATTTGTGGGAAAATAAACATAGAAATGAATCAAAACAGTTCAAACTAAAATATGAAATGTTTTCATGCGCATGTTTCCATACTACAGCGATTACTGCCGTTGTTTATTATTCAGTTAAATCTACCTGAAAAAAGTTTGCCAGTTCCCTGAGTAGAGCCTTTTTTTGTGAAGGAGCGAATGCTTTTATAACTTCTGTATACAAGTCTGAGTTTGAGAATGAAGTATTTGAGTGTGTACAGCAAGTGAAGTATATGGATCTGTGTTTACTAAAACTATCCAAATACTATATTGTTGCTTGTTATATCTTCTGAACAATGTGCACAATGTTTGCATGTACAGTTTTACAAAGGATGCACTTGTTCATTTTGTTAAACTGAGTGTGTTGAAATATCAAATCTATATCAAATTGTAAAATTGCCTTAAATATTCACTGATATTCATGGATTTGTGCGATGCCTTCTTCAGAATTTGTTTAAGAAAGTATTCATGATATATTTTGTGCCCGTGTTTTTCAATTGCTTTCTAGTGACTTTTTCTTTGCAATAGTTCAATATAACAAATGTATTTTGATGTGTTTTTTTATTCATATGATTATTGTGATTTATCAGAGAAAGCATGGCTGAAGTACTGATTGTCTAATATATTTAATAGATGACTATTTCTGTATCAAAGTATGGATTTTTAAATAAATATTCATATTCAAAAATATGAAGGTTTACTCGTTGTCATGTTTATAAAAGTTGGTCCTGTTCTGTACGATGCGGAATAGTGTGAAAGATAAACATAGACATTTTGTAAGAATTCTCAGATGTTGAAAAGATCTTTCCAAAAGAAAACCGGGATAAATGTAGCTACTAATTAGAGCTGAAATACTAGTGTAGTGCGATTTTATCAACACAGATTGACACACATTCAATGATTGTATGTTGTTATCAAGCTGCATTTTCAATATCATTGTGTGGATGCTAAATAGTTTGTGTTAGAAGAGATATGTTTTGCTAATGTCCTATTGTGTCTTGACTCACACACAGGATTCATACT